CAGAGAAGACTCTAGGGTAAGGAACCATCTGCAGAATAAAAGGCTAGGGGATATAATGTAATTTGGCACTGAAGCCACACTGCTATGTGTTTATCTATCCATGTTTACCCATAGAATATAATAAATTATTATTAGCTGGCTCTTTATGTCTTTCTGAAGCCGTTACTTTGAATCTGTCCTGAATAATCACATATTTAACTGCTATGCCATCATAGGGGAGTTAGTGCTATATAATATCACATACTGGCTCCAGACAGTTATACCAACATCTGCATAAAGTCAAAGAATCAAAACTTCAGGTGAAATTTAACAAAATTCTGCTACAAATATGGTTTGATGAGCAGTTTTGTGTGATTTATTAGTATATTTCAGATCAGAAAAATTTGAAGGAAAGACCGTTCTGATTGGTTAAACGTGTTAACAAATCAATGAAATGTTGTCTCATACAGTGAAACCCACTAAATGTTCTATTTGTCGGGGGAAATGCGATAATAAGCTGAATGTGACATTAACAGTAAACACTTTTTTCTGGATGTCTAAACCTGTAATTGAAATTGATCCCAGTATGCATTCTAAGACTTATTTTCAAGAAGTTTGGATTGCACGTTGGACACGTCTGAAAACTTAGCGGCATGCTGCCCTCTCCAACACTGGTTTGCATTGTGACAAGTTCCGTGAGTTTAAAACCCATTTGAACTATTGGAGTGCACTAGCTTACTGAAAAAAAACAAATGCACTAGATTTCCTTGACATAGCTGGGCCTTACAGGTAAGCCGGTCAATCTTATTATTCAGGAATCGCAAGATGTGAGAAGTTTGCCAGTAGGGTAGTGACAATGTTTACATAACGTGTCCAGGTGTGATGTATGACACTTCAGGCATGAATCCATAGTTCCTTTCCTCACTTGCCTGTTATTTACCCATGGTTTCTTTATGATAGTCTGTAAAACGAAGTGATATTAAGTGTTGCCCACAAGAAATGTGATATTAACCAGAAAGTGGCATTAACTGACTTGACATTAAGTGGGTTCCATTGTATAGCTAGTTATAATGGTCAGTTAAATGAGTAATCTTGATTGTCATTACTGATTGGCTATCTGATATCATTGGCTACAGTCATAGTGAATCATTACTGATTGGCTATCTGATATCATTGGCTACAGTCATAGTGAATCATTACTGATTGGCTATCTGATATCATTGGTTACAGTCATAGTGAATCATTACTGATTGGCTATCTGATATCATTGGCTACAGTCATAGTGAATCATTACTGATTGGCTATCTGATATCATTGGTTACAGTCATAGTGAACTGATTGGCTATCTGATATCATTGGCTACAGTCATAGTGAATCATTACTGATTGGCTATCTGATATCATTGGCTACAGTCATAGTGAACTGAATCTGATTGGCTATCTGATATCATTGGCTACAGTCATAGTGAATCATTACTGATTGGCTATCTGATATCATTGGTTACAGTCATAGTGAATCATTACTGATTGGCTATCTGATATCATTGGCTACAGCCATAGTGAATCATTACTGATTGGCTATCTGATACCATTGGTTACAGTCATAGTGAATCATTACTGATTGGCTATCTGATATCATTGGTTACAGTCATAGTGAATCATTACTGATTGGCTATCTGAATCATTGGCTACAGTCATAGTGAAAAATTTGATAAAAATGGGAAGTATATTTCCTTATTTTGGTGTTGTTTCATATCAAAAGTGAGTGTTGGACGATGACAGTGTAATTTGTCATCTTTGAAATCTTATTTATAATTCTTTTTTGTAGAAATGTAGTACTGTTTTCACTCAGGTTATATTTGGAAAGAAATAAGTTCTAATAAAAGTTTCTGTCAAAAATATTATCACTACTGTTAAGGTTTAAGAAAATTCAATCTTTAAGACACATACTGTATTCAGGGGGATTGGACCATAGATCAATACTGTTCATTATACAGACATATGTGACAGTGTCTATGATATATACAGTTAACCGTGGCAGCATCACACTATAATCTTCTGATCTACAAATCTCTGTTCCTATCCTCCACACACGGTTTATACTCTTGCCCTACGAAGAACTAATTGGTCAGAATTCCATTCCAGTTGAACGGTGAAAGTGTACCATAATTTCCTCAGCTATGGTTTAGGGCAATCTGCTAGAGAGTGTAGAGTGCATTCCGATGGCCATATACAGATATTAGTTCTGTGTTTAGTTACTTTGAGCCAGTTAGAGTGTAAATTTGGTGTCAGATTATGAGATCCTCTAATGAGTAGAAGGACAATATGTCTCAGATAGAACAATGTTATTGGGACAGAGAAGAGTGAGATGTGACAATCCAATTCCCTAATGATTGCAGTACAGCTTGAGAAGACATTTCTTACTGGCGTTGTTACAGTTCAATTCATATTATCTGGTTCTCAGAAACATCTCTGGGGTCATTCATGTCATATTGACTTTGCGTAGAAATTGTTGACACTTTTCGTGTCACTGCAATCTTGCGTTAAAAATATATGTACCAATTTATAATTTTATTGACATGTGCTTCCATGTGATACGTCCATGTCATGTAAAAGATCCTAAATGTGTGCGTTTGAATTTATTAAAACAAGATCAATAATTCTATTTAATACGAAAGTGTCCTATGATGTAATCCCACATTACCACAAGTAAAAGATTTTTTTTATCACACGAACTTGATTTAGTGGAAAAGATGAAACAATATTACATTTAATTCCGTGTGAAACAAAACAGTTCACATCAGAGTACTTCACTTCTGAAACAATGGTGTGGTGTTATTTATATATTTATCATAAGTACACTAGTCTGATAATGTTTTTGGCATTGATACGTCATAAATATAGGATCTTTCATTTGATATAAGTATGTGAATTCTTAAAAAAAGAATTTGGGAAGCTGAAATGAAAAATTTGTAACAATTAAGTTTCATTATTATATTGATATAAAATGAAGACCAAGTTATAATCCTTTTTATGACGATGCAATCTGTGATGTCATATTATCTATACATGACAACATGTTATAGTACACTTGTGTTATGTGTAAAAATATGTAATTTACTTATGTGATAAACTTGGATAGATAAATAAGTTATAAACATTTTTAGAATAATAACTTAACTGTAAAATTTGCATAGATAAAACATGGGTGGATGAATTACTTATGGTAGATAAATAACTTAATTGATAAACATGAATAATAGATAACTGAAGTGATAAACTCTGGGAGATAAATTACTTATATGATAAACTTGGATGGATGAATAACTAAAGTTATAAACATTGATACATGAATAACTTAAGGGACCAACACAGGTAGATAAATTACTTAGGTGATAAACTTGTATGGATACTAAAGAACATCCTCTTAGTCAACATTAAAATGTCTATTGGAGAAGTATTAGGAGAGACCTTATTATCAGGATTTAAATACAATATGGAATAATGTTGATAATTTAGATTTTTTTAGAATAAAACAGAGGTAGAAACATAATACAAGGGTTCAACATTTCTTAATGGAACTTGTATAATTTTCCTAAACACTAATTCACCAGATGCTTACTTACATGAAAATAATTTATACATGTTGTATTAATTGCATATGACATTGAAACTCCTTCCGGATCCTTAAAAGTCAGGAACACAAATGTCAACACTGGATTTCAGTGACAGCTCACATCACCCTAGTATAGCATCATTCTGTTTGATTTAAAAACAGCGCAGTGTTCTAACAGCTAGTTAGCGCCCGAGGATGCTTGTTTTGTGTAGGAATTATTGCTCTGAAGCATGTGCTGTCGATGAGTGGGCTGTTAATTGTTTATCAAAAAGTACCAATAAAGCCCTGATGGGATGGTGTTGTCTGGGACATTAGCTTCTTCAGCAGGGATAAAGACATGTGGCCAAGTCAATTCTGGGCTATTTCTTCTCCAACTTTATTTGCTATTTTTCAAATGAGAGCCTTGCAGCTGTCTTTGAAATTGAGAATTTTTTCTCATTGAAAACTTCAATTTGTTTTTTTTTATTCGTGCAGAGTTGAGTCAAATGAACAAATGTTATATGCATTGCTGTGTTTATATAGAATGGCAGATGAGGTCTTGATTTAATTTCTGTTTAAACAATTTACTTGAACGAATGAAGACCAGGAAGGTCATTGAACTTCTTATTAAAAATAAAACACTTAACACTGCAGAAGGTTAGGGTGACATCATACCACAGTTGATCAGTGCCCGTCATCTCTCTAGATTGGCACCAAAAGATATAGAATTAGTTTTAGAAATATCAACTTGAGGAATCATTTAGAGGTATCTGTGTTACAGTTCACCTGTCTCTAAGATAAGTGACTGTTCACATCCTGTAATAGCCCGCTGCCCAACAATGGTTAATTAGACTTAGAATACATTACTTATCAACATTATTTGGGTGCTTATATCTTATACATTTACTGATTAAGATATTTCAACAATATTCTTATAGAAAGTTTGAAGTTTTTGAAAACTTTTTCAGTATATTCTGTACTAGTTTTGTTATTTCTGTTAGAATATAGGCACAGAAACTAAACCAACATGTGTATCATCTCTAAATCAGAGCAGAAAAAACTAAAGAAATCAAGAACTATTTTGGTAAAAGCATATTTTTGTAGAAATTGAGAAATGTTTGGTAGATAAGAAGATAGCATGCAAACGCACTCAAGTCCAGTCTGAAGAAAATCTCTTTGTAGTAAAATAACATGGTAGTGTTGGATTGGCCACTAAATCAACTTACATTTTGCCCCTGTGGTTTTTTTCATCAACTTTCTAAAGCTGACATTTGGAAGCAGTCACAGAAACCTCTTATTATTGTTGTTATGGGAATACAAGTATGACACCACATCCAAGTACAGGAAGTTTTACAGTGAAAAAGGAGGATATTTTAGCCTCTCACTGCCAATATCAAGGCAAATATATTCCTTGTAGATAAAATACACTAAAGAACAAAGTTCCATTCATCATTATAATTTCCTGCTGCTGTCTTCTGATCCTGTAACCTCCTGTTGTTGTCTTCTGATCCTGTAATCTCCTGCTGCTGTCTTCTGATCCTGTAATCTCCTGCTGCTGTCTTCTGATCCTGTAATCTCCTGCTGTTGTCTTCTGATCCTGTAACCTCCTGCTGCTGTCTTCTGATCCTGTAATCTCCTGCTGCTGTCTTCTGATCCTGTAATCTCCTGTTGTTCTCTTCTGATCGTGTAATCTCCTGCTGCTGTCTTCTGATCGTGTAATCTCCTGCTGCTGTCTTCTGATCGTGTAATCTCCTGCTGCTGTCTTCTGATCCTGTAATCACCTGCTGCTGTCTTCTGATCCTGTAATCACCTGCTGCTGTCTTCTGATCCTGTAATCTCCTGCTGCTGTCTTCTGATCCTGTAATCACCTGCTGCTGTCTTCTGATCGTGTAATCACCTGCTGTTGTCTTCTGATCCTGTAATCTCCTGCTGCTGTCTTCTGATCCTGTAATCACCTGCTGCTGTCTTCTGATCCTGTAATCACCTGCTGCTGTCTTCTGATCGTGTAATCTCCTGCTGCTGTCTTCTGATCCTGTAATCTCCTGCTGCTGTCTTCTGATCCTGTAATCACCTGCTGCTGTCTTCTGATCGTGTAATCTCCTGCTGCTGTCTTCTGATCCTGTAATCACCTGCTGCTGTCTTCTGATCCTGTAATCACCTGCTGCTGACTTCTGATCCTGTAATCACCTGTTGTTGTCTTCTGATCGTGTAATCTCCTGCTGCTGTCTTCTGATCCTGTAATCTCCTGCTGCTGTCTTCTGATCCTGTAATCACCTGCTGCTGTCTTCTGATCCTGTAATCACCTGCTGCTGTCTTCTGATCCTGTAACCTCCTGCTGCTGTCTTCTGATCCTGTAATCTCCTGCTGCTGTCTTCTGATCCTGTAATCACCTGCTGCTGTCTTCTGATCCTGTAATCACCTGCTGCTGTCTTCTGATCCTGTAATCACCTGCTGCTGTCTTCTGATCGTGTAATCTCCTGCTGTTGTCTTCTGATCCTGTAATCTCCTGTTGCTGTCTTCTGATCCTGTAATCTCCTGTTGTTGTCTTCTGATCCTGTAATCTCCTGCTGTTGTCTTCTGATCGTGTAATCTCCTGCTGCTGTCTTCTGATCGTGTAATCTCCTGCAGTTGTTTTCCATGTCATCACTGTATTTTCTTGCAGTTGTCTTCTGTTTCATCATTGTTACCTTCTGCAGTTTTCATTCACTTATTTTTAATAGTGGCATTGTTTTTTTCACTTATTTTTAATAGTGGCATTGTTTTTACTTATGGAACACCCATCCATGAACTAATGGTGCCTGCCATGTTGGTCCAGGGAGTCTGTATAGTCTCAGGTTTATACTTATTGTATATCTGAATATCTTTTTCATCTTATAGTGGCAATGAACTTTTTATGGTGCGATCTTTTCATCTCGCACCTGGCAAGGATAAGTACTCTCTCTTCTGTAAAGATAACACATCATTTCATTACCATTTGTAAGTTTGTATAGCTTTCACAAGTTTAAATAACCTGGTACAACTTTTCTATTTTTAGGTATTTCCAAAGAAAAAATACCAATTGTCTTACAAACATATTTCTATATAATGTTACAAGCTGTTAAAGTGGTTGTGAGATAATTCTCTTTTCTTGGCAGTAGACAGCTTTGGCGCACTTACTTAGTGAATTCTATGTCTGAAATCAACATATAGACTCAGAAAGATCAATTGTCATTTGGATTGCCTAGAGAGGATATTCACTATTGGGAAATACAAAATAGAGGAAGGAAGCCTTAAAATGCAATGTCTGTTCTTTTTTTCCTGTTTTTCCTTTTCTGTACATAGAAAACTTTTTATTATTCTCTCACTACCAAATTTCCTGAACTGGCATTCAATATAGTTTGACTTAAAAACCAATTAACATGTTTTTGCCATTCTTGTGTGAAATGTTTCTCTTCCCGATCAGGCTTGATGGATGAACATAGTTATATAAAACTTTCAAGAGGCTTCAGGCATGGTGTAGCTTGCCAGATCTTAGGAGCAACACTCCACTGGTTACAATACAGGTTGTTGTGAAATGTGTACAAATTACAAAGCGTTTCTATGATGGAATCCTTTATTTGAAATTGAAACGTAAAAGAATTGCATTTGAAATATATTAGGTATTTTGATATGGTTACATTGAAGTCAACTAGATCTGTATTTTTTTTATTTTTTTTTTTTTTATTACTGTAAACTTTTGTAATTTTTGAAGAGTTTTATTTTTGGCGATATTTGAAGCTGCTGTAAATTCACAACAAAAATGACATCTAGAAATCAGGTAAAGGAAGAAAAATAGAGTACATTTCATGGCTTACATCTTTTTTGTTTAAGTGAATGCTCAGTCAGTAGAGCATTGTGCCTTTGTAACCGCAGGTAAAGATCACAGGTGTGGTTCAACACTCTCTTCCTCTGGCATTTTGTGTTTCTAGGGAAGTTGAGAAACGGACCAGCCTGTGCTGATGAGGTCATAACCTTCAGCAAGACACTAAACCCTAATTGCTCTAGTTGTCATGTGATGGTTCTCCTGTATGTTGTTCAGTAGCTAGCTACCAGCTACTGAAAGGAGACCCTGCCTCAATATGACTCTGTTATTCATGGAACATTAAACCTGGAAAACAAAAACTTGTGAAATTCTGAAAATCTAAACAGTGAAATAAAACTTAAATTGTTGTGGATAACATTGTGAGATGAACAAAATACCTCTTTCATTCATAACTCTATATTGACGATTCTATTGATGAATTTCTTTTTCATCATATTTTAAAATTAGTTACATACATGGCATTCCTGAGAACTATGCCTGTGATTTTCTAAGTTAGGGCCCTCCTTGTTCTGTATGATTACTAGCCTGTGGTTGTTGTAACATCAGTTTCTCTTGTGTTTTCCATACATCATTACTAACCCTTGTCTATACCTGTAACTACCACATCATTTTCAGCTGAAAACAATTTCTGCTAATGAGACTAATGTATAAAACAGTGATCCTACTTAAACAAATATGTCGATCACTCATGGTTTACAATGTCAGATGTAAAAAAGGAAATTAGGGAAACTAACCACAACCTATATATATATATATATATGTGATCGGAATACTTACCACAACCTATATATATATATATGTGATCTGAACACTAACCACAACCTATATATAATATACGTATGTGGGCATTTAGACATGGGACGCCTAAATAAACAGTAGAGCAGGAAAATTTTGGCCTCTTTATAATTTTCACTCTTTTCATGCATGAGCAGGGAGAGAAACATTTAAGATTGTGGAAAAAAATTGTTGGGCACACACTTTAATGTTCCATTTTATGTAATCCCTCATAGGAACTGAACATAAAATGGTCCAAGGGAGATAATTACTTAGGATGAGAAATATCCTGGTATAGAATAATACTTCTTGTTTATACTTCAATAGACACAGGGAGCCACTGCAGCCTCTCTTCCAAAGTAGAGAGGTGATTTATTGCAGGATGACTGTATTATAAGCTTTTACTGGCATTTTTACTGAAACTTCAATATGTATGTGGGTAGGTTAATTATCATACATGGGCTTGTCACTGAACAAATATCAATTTGAACAATGTTTTATACAATAATTCAACAATATGACCCATGTAAAAGAGATTTTTATTGATTTCAATGCTTCTGCTAGGATTCAAACTTTGGACCTTATGTTTATCAGTCTTACACTCAACTAAATAGCGAATAGAGAAATAGAGACATCAAGGTTTATAGTGAATTTAAAAATTAACTTTTAAAATCAAGGTCAGCAGTGATTTTATGATTCAAGATCAATGTCGACAGTGGATTAGGGACTCAGAATAAAGGTCAACAGTGGATGAAGAACTTAAAATCAAGGTTCCACAGTGGATTTAAGACTTAGAATCATGGTCAGCAGTGGAGTTAGGATTCAAGATCAATGTTGACAGTGGATTAGGGACTTAGAATAAAGGTCAACAGTGGATGAAGAACTTAAAATCAAGGTTCCACAGTGGATTTAAGACTTAGAATCATGGTCAGCAGTGGAGTTAGGATTCAAGATCAATGTCGACAGTGGATTAGGGACTTAGAATAAAGGTCAACAGTGGATGAAGAACTTAAAATCAAGGTTCCACAGTGGATTTAAGACTTAGAATCATGGTCAGCAGTGGAGTTAGGATTCAAGATCAATGTCGACAGTGGATTAGGGACTTAGAATAAAGGTCAACAGTGGATGAAGAACTTAAAATCAAGGTTCCACAGTGGATTTAAGACTTAGAATCATGGTCAGCAGTGGAGTTAGGATTCAAGATCAATGTCGACTGTGGATTAGGGACTTAGAATAAAGGTCAACAGTGGATGAAGAACTTAAAATCAAGGTTCCACAGTGGATTTAAGACTTAGAATCATGGTCAGCAGTGGAGTTAGGATTCAAGATCAATGTCGACAGTGGATTAGGGACTTAGAATAAAGGTCAACAGTGGATGAAGAACTTAAAATCAAGGTTCCACAGTGGATTTAAGACTTAGAATCATGGTCAGCAGTGGAGTTAGGATTCAAGATCAATGTCGACAGTGGATTAGGGACTTAGAATAAAGGTCAACAGTGGATGAAGAACTTAAAATCAAGGTTCCACAGTGGATTTAAGACTTAGAATCATGGTCAGCAGGGGAGTTAGGATTCAAGATCAATGTTGACAGTGGATTAGGGACTTAGAATAATGGTCAACAGTGGATGAAGAACTTAAAATCAAGGTTCCACAGTGGATTTAAGACTTAGAATCATGGTCAGCAGTGGAGTTAGGATTCAAGATCAATGTCGACAGTGGATTAGGGACTTAGAATAAAGGTCAACAGTGGATGAAGAACTTAAAATCAAGGTTCCACAGTGGATTTAAGACTTAGAATCATGGTCAGCAGGGGAGTTAGGATTTAAGATCAATGTTGACAGTGGATTAGGGACTTAGAATAAAGGTCAACAGTGGATGAAGAACTTAAAATCAAGGTTCCACAGTGGATTTAAGACTTAGAATCATGGTCAGCAGGGGAGTTAGGATTTAAGATCAATGTTGACAGTGGATTAGGGACTTAGAATAAAGGTCAACAGTGGATGAAGAACTTAAAATCAAGGTTCCACAGTGGATTTAAGACTTAGAATCATGGTCAGCAGCGGAGTTAGGATTTAAGATCAATGTCGACAGTGGATTAGGGACTTAGAATAAAGGTCAACAGTGGATGAAGAACTTAAAATCAAGGTTCCACAGTGGATTTAAGACTTAGAATCATGGTCAGCAGTGGAGTTAGGATTCAAGATCAATGTCGACAGTGGATTAGGGACTTAGAATAAAGGTCAACAGTGGATGAAGAACTTAAAATCAAGGTTCCACAGTGGATTTAAGACTTAGAATCATGGTCAGCAGGGGAGTTAGGATTTAAGATCAATGTTGACAGTGGATTAGGGACTTAGAATAAAGGTCAACAGTGGATGAAGAACTTAAAATCAAGGTTCCACAGTGGATTTAAGACTTAGAATCATGGTCAGCAGTGGAGTTAGGATTCAAGATCAATGTCGACAGTGGATTAACAACAAAACACAACAGAAATTATTTCATAGCAGTGGTTGCACAATCTCTGATGCCAGGAAATACACCTGATGAGATGATGTGATGATTTTACAATGTGCCTCCTAAACAGCAAACTAATTAGTACCTCACACTAACGAGCACATGATCACTGACGCATGCAGTTGATTGTGTATGTGTACGCATCCTAATTAGCATAACATGAAAACGCCAAAAAACTCCGAAATGCAAAGTAAATTTTCCATGTAATGCTGTTAGCAGATTATTGATACCTTAAACATCTGAGAAATTTGAAATCGGTGAGCGGAAATAATGTGAAATTAATTCACACAAACATGGGTGGCGGACAAATAGATGTATGAGAAACAGCTGATAGTGTTAAAATTTACTCTTAAAACATCATTTGTAAAATGAAATTCTTACAAATCTGTTGTTCTGAGTATAATGACATTTCATTTGACAAAAACACAGCATTTTTGTCATTCACTGGCTGGTGATATCTGTGTTTATGGAGATATAATGTGTATTATCATGCTGTATATCATACTGTGTATTCA